TTATGTAGATCTCTTATGGTTTCTTGAAGTAGTTTTTTATAGTTTTCTTTGTAGAGGTCTTTTGTGTCCCTGGTAAGATTTATTCCCAAGTATTTAATTTTTTCGGTAGCTATTGAAAATGATATTGATTTCCTTATTTCTTTACAAATAACATTTTAAGTAAAATTTTTAAGTGGCATTTTATAAAAAGATGACCTGATGTTTCATACTCTATATTCCCACTAATAGGGTCTAAGACATTACTTACCTTAGTTATGGTTTCTGTGTGTCATGATAGTATAATAAATATTTTTCCTGACTGGTAGAAAGACCAGGTCACCAAAGCACTTTTGATACTGTGCTGAAAGTCATTGTATGTAAACAGATTGGCTATTTTTCTCATCTGTAAGTTTTGCTCCATTACAGACAGTTCTAGTTTCAATCCAGTTGTTCGTTTCAATAGCATCCATTTTGGCTAAGCACATCAATTGCTTTAGATTGCTGACCCAGCTGAAGTCAGTAGTTATATTGTATGGCTTCTCAATCAGTCATGTTTGGCAGGCAGGGTACTGCTACTCTAAAACTCAAGATTCTCTAACAGCCCTCCTTGCTTTTGCCATCTGAAATGACAACAGGATCTAACTGAACAACATATGATCCTTTCATGTTGGAGACAAATTCCATTCCATAAGCATTTTGGGCTTTTTCTACTCCAAACAAAAACTCTTGCCACCTATTCATTTTAGAAGAATATTTATTTTCAAGGAGACACAATGTTGTTGGTACTTAGATCCTTTGATACTCACATTGTGTACAATAGGATGAGAGAATGGTGCAGTGTAATAAACTTTCCAAGGCTTGTAGTTCTCTCAAGGGGGCCAAAGAAAACACAAGTGTGCTCCAAGGATGCGGGAGAACAAAGGGAAGCCTCTCCCTACTGGGCTTCTTTTTCTAAAACCAGATGAAGAAAAGCTTGACTTGGCTGTAGTCTCCCACTAAGGGGTCAAGTGATGCCTCCTTTTCAGCTCTTGACTTTCAGCTGGAAAGTTTAATGTTGTCCACTCTTGAGAAAATGAGAAAAATGTTGGAATCACCATTAGAAAACAGAATTGACCGTTGAAAGGGCATATACAACCTACTGGCCCATGTAGGCATTTCATTTTGTTTTTGTTGTTGTTATGTGCTGTCGAGTCAGACCCGACTCATAATGACCCCTCCTTAAGTTTCTGAGGCAGTATAACTATGGAAGTAGATTTCCCAACCTTCCTTCCAAGGAGTGGCTGGTGGGTTTGAACCACCAGTCTTCTGGTTAGCAGTCAAATGTCTTAGGTACTATGGTACCAGAGCTCCCAGGCATTTCATACGATTCATGAAATGAATAGATGGTCATGTCATCATTTCCATTTATCTGGAAAAATATCACATATATAAATGGAAATGGATAACCTGATTTAAATGTTTCTATGATTTAATTTTTTTTTCTATGATTTTTATATGAACTCAAAGAATAAAATTTGAAGTAAGACTTATCTATTTGAATATCTGCATAAAGATCTTTTATTACTATCAACTTTAGGTTTTTCTTATAAGGTTTCCCTTTCTCTTTGCTTTAGGTTTTTGGGACCAGCTAGGAGTGGCATGGCCCTTATGGAAGTTAACCTGCTCAGTGGTTTTGCTGTGGCTTCAGATGCAATTCCTCTGAGTGAGATAATTAAGAAAGTGGAGCATGATCATGGAAAACTCAACCTATACTTAGATTCTGTAAGTAGCAAAACGTGTTTCACATAGGTAACCATCCACAAAGCCATCATTTACTGTGTTCAGAAGTCTACTTTACTTTAAGAATATTTTATTTAAGTAAGTCATTATTATCTCAGCTTTTCATGTGCCTGAATGATTTTAGCATGGCAACCAATTGTTTGTCTCTACTAAAAAAAATCTCAACAAAATTAAAGATAATTATATTTAATGGTGATCCCATTAAAGGTCTTGATAACTAAATCATTATTTAGTAAATGATTATTTTAGTAATGTAAGATGTAAAAACTATAGAAGTTGCCCAGTTGTAATTTCAAAAATTCAGTCCAGACCTCACTTTGAGAACCCCTTCCTCAGTAAGTGGTTAAAAGTATTTGTTTAAATGCTGAAAATGAAAACTTTAGTTACATGTTTTGAAGTGTTTTCACGAAGCTGTTAACAAATCCCAAAGGGGCCAATATTCCTGCATTGAAGAGTTAGGTCCTTAATCATAGAATATTCTCAGAAGTGTGGTTTTGACATGTTATTATTATTAAATTTTCATATACTCTTTCATACTCATGAAAACTATTGATAGAGTGCATAAAATATGAGGATTTTCAGTTCTAAAAGCATGTAACTGAAGATTTCCAGAATCTAAGTCTCAAAATCGATGGCCTGTAATTTTTTCTTCTTTTTTTCTAACATATATGTATGTAAAACTCAGAGGTTGAATTGAAATTGAGTTCTAAGCATTCTTAGAATTTCATGGTACATGGGGTATGGAGAATACATATATTCTTCATTCCAGTTATTCTAAATATTAATAAAAAATATCTTGCTAAATAGCTGTTTTTTAAGAGCTAGTTTCTGAATTTTTAGATTTGCTTTGTTGTTGTTGTTATGTGCTGTCGAGTCAGACTTGACTCATAGTGACCCCTCCTTGGGTTTCCGAGGCAGTATCACTACAGAAGTAGATTGTCCGGTCTTCCTTCCAAGGAGTGGAACCACCAGCCTTCTGGTTAACAGTCAAGTGCCTTAGGCACTACGCCACCAGAGCTCCTTAGATTTGCTTTAGGGTTCAAAAACTGCTCTAATTTAAATCATGTTAAAACTCAGTGTTGCTAGATTCTTTTGCTGTTCAGTAATTTTCGTATATTAAATACTGCTTGAAATCCACAGCCTCATTTGGAACTTGAAAAAAAAATTAAGGTTTTTATTTAGTGAAGTAATTGGTGCTGGAGTTTGTCCTGTATATCTGATGTTCTGTTAATGTTTATCTTAATTTGAGTGTCCAGTACTTTTTGACTAATTAATTTGACTTTTCATTTACTGCTCTTGGCAAGTAAAGGAATGTTTGAATGAATTTACAAATTTCCCAACCATAATTGTTTGCCAAGTTAGCATAAGCTGTCCCTTCTGGGGGCAGGAGTGCTAGTGTACTTCATGTCAGTCAGTCCTTGGTTGGGGGTTGCACTCCTGCCTCAAGATTACTTCTTGGGTCAGGCAGCTTCCATGAGCTGAGGACAATTTTCTGGATAAGGGGGCTGCTTTGAGTTATTAGCAGCTGACACTCACAGCAGCTGGAGATGGACAGGGGACCTGCTTGAGACACCAGGTCACAGGAGCTGTGTCCTTAGTGCTGCTTATGTAACCACTCCCATTCTTAGTAGCCCTTTCACTAAAATGGAAGTAAGAACCATACCTATCTTGTAAGGGCTGCTTTGTGAGTTAAATGAGATAATTCATAAAAAGTACTTAGTATGCAATACCTGGCACATAGACATCCCGCCTAAATGTTACCTCTGTCTCCTAGAATAATAAGAGAAAGAAATATCTTTTATTTTATCATAAGCATACAGTCTGCCACCATCTCAAGACTCTTTTTGTATTTTTTAAGGTAAATGAAACCCAGTTCTGCATTGATATTCCTGCTGTGAGAAACTTTAAGGTTTCAAATACCCAAGATGCTTCGGTGTCCATAATGGATTACTATGAACCAAGTAAGTGGGTTCTACAGTCTCTAATACTGTTGTTGAGAAGTTAAGCCAGACATTTATTTATTTTTAATGACCACTTCACCTATTGGATTACCTATGGAGTTAGAGAATAGTAGGAGGTAGGGAGCAGGAGGTGAGGTTTCCATTTAAATGAAGACAATTGGCAATTTGCAAAGGTCCCATGATATCATTTAGCATATGAATATTAAAAAGTGATATTTTTCATTCATGATGTTTTAGGTTTTAGCTCACAGCTACAAAATTTACAAAGAAAAATTGGCATAGAGAGTCCAGTTACGGTCAGTTTCCAGAGTTTTGCTTATGTACCAAGCACTCAATCCATCTAGTTCCTGTTTTGAAATAGGAGTTCTTCAAGAGAGAACAGGAGCAGCATCCACAGTGTAATACCATCAGCTATTTAGGTTTAGCTGTTTGTTTATTGAGGGAGTCTGTTTGGCTAAAATTTATACCTTATAACTTTTTTTTTTAGTGTGTTAAGAAAAAGAAAACAGTCTGTTTGGAAAATAACTTGAGTGCTTTGCTCTTACTGGGAACTTCTTACTTTATGAAATGATAGAGATTTAGATGTGCAAGGAGAAATCCAGACTGGAAGCACTCAGGTTATTAAATCTGTATTCAGTCATAGAATGGCTTTTTGTGAATGTGGGATCTCTGGGCTAGCATTTCTAACTGTCATAGATCCTATCCTGATAGCTCAGAGTCTGAACATTTTCAGTGTTAGGTTGTTGTTGTTGTTGTTGTTATGTGCCGTCGAGTCGGCCCCGGCAATTGTACTTTTTTTTTTTTTTTTTAAATAAACATATTCACATTACTGGTAGCATTTGATAGAATATTCATTTAGACTAAGGGGTAGCATCAATTCTTTCTCCTTTTAAGTCATTAAGCCAGTTCATGGTTTTTTTTTTTTTTTCCTTCCTGTTGAATTGTTTTGTTTGATGAAAAGCCTATGCTTAGGTTCTTAAAGAGCATTTTGAGGAAACAATGATGTAACTTTTTTTTTTTTTTTTTCTGGAGGAGAGATGTATAAACTGTGATGACTCATTGATAGTACCTAGTTCTCCAACTTTATTAACCTAGTTTCAAAATTCCCCAACTGATATTTCTTAGGGGCACAGAGAAGGTTTTACACATTTAAGGAAAAAAAAAAGCTTCAATCTATGTATGTGTTTTGTAGAAATCAGTTTATTTTCGAGAGGGTCATTTTTAAATGAAAATATGGGAAAAGTCAGAATAAAACCCTAATAACTCTTTTAAAAAAATCCTACAACAGAAAACGCATAATAAAAAAATCACTGAAAAATCATGAAGGAATTTGAAAATGTAATTTTTTAATTTTAATTGTAAAAATAAAAATTATTTATGTGCTATAGAGAATCTATGTCATATAGTGTTGAACCTGCTTCCTATAGATTTTTGTATTAGTTTTGCTATCAATTTTACCCAGGTTGAATAAATAGTACTTAAGTACTATGTGCTTAATGTTTTAACATATTCAAACAATGCATTGCTTAAGCAGATTTCCTCTTGTATGTATATTGTTGTTGTTGTTGTTGTTATGTGCCGTCGAGTCGACCCCGACTCATATACTTTTTAATAAATCCCATTTAAGTATCTGTCTTCAGTAGTTGTAATTATTAGATTTTTGTTTGAATGCTTAGACAGTGTTGCTATTGAGGTGGTTAAACAATCCTCCATTTAAAACCTTTCCAGTTCTAATAAAAGATTAAAGCTGTGCAAATGCACTCTATTTGTCTCTTTTAATGGTGGCCAACTGCTGGTGGGAGATGATTAGACTGAAAGCATTGTTTCTCTCTTGGATTTGGTTAGCAGTTTGAACCTCTCTTGAACTGATGTCAATTTCAATTGTTTCTTGTAAAGAACAATAGAATTATGTCAGCTCAGGAAAGTGCATTGAAGTGCTCTTAAGTTTTGGCAAACTAACTATTTCTATACAAGGGGGATGTGTAAACTGATGTCTGCTTCTTTGAACAGGGAGACAAGCAGTGAGAAGTTACAACTCCAAAGTGAAGCTGTCCTTTTGTGACCTTTGCGGAGAGGTCCAGGGCTGCAGCCTTTGTGAGGAAGTAGCGTCAGGCTCCCTTCATCACTCTCCAGTCATTTTCATTTTCTGCTTCACACTTCTGTACTCTTTGCAACACTGGCTGTGATTTATTTCTTAAGGACTCCGTGTCACACTAACATTTCCAGAAATCAGATGATTGCTTTATTTTCATAATGAATATTGCTTCTGACTGTTTTGAAAAACATTTCTATTCTTTATATGGGGGTCGGGGGGAAGGTGTACTGTAAAGCAGGTCCCAGTATCTGAAACAAGAGTAAGAATTATTACATTTGCGTGTCTTTAATTCCCTTCCAGAAATGTCTTAGGATTTTTTTTTTTTTAGATGTTTGTTTTCTCCAAAATAAAAGTTGTTTTAGATGATTCTTTTCATTTTCTAAAAGAAATGAGCCTAGGTTCTTAAGCATTAGGATGCATCAGTATTGGCTTTAGGATTAAAGTTGGATACTCTGGGAACTGGAGAAAACAACCAGAAGGGGAAGCTTGTTCTGTTCCCTTCTCATCTCCAACCTAACCCTGTTCCCCACCCTACACCCAGCGGCCTGAGTGGGTATTTTTTAAATTGAGGATTGCTTCTTTCTTTCTAGAATGTTGGTGGTGAATTTTTAAATAAAGTAAATGGTCTTTTTCCACTGTAAATTGGATGACATACCCTAACCTTCTGCAGAGACGAATGGGAGAGAGTGTGTGTTTTGCTGTGTATTTTACACTGCTCAGAGTTTGAGGAGTGTAATGAGAACTGTCCCAAGAGGTACTTGGTGTGCAGATCTCCTTCTCACGTCTCTGGCTACACAGACTGGCTCCGTTTCAGGGATGGGATTTGCCTATGGGCTTTGACTGGAAGATCCTAGAACTGGAGACACACTTTTTGTTAGTAAAGGGAGTCTGTAAGCCAGTGGTATAATGGAATACTATATAAAATGCAGAAGAATGATCTGAGTCTTGGTGTGACTTCCAACTTATTTTATGGCTTTGGATAGGCTTCCTATAGAACCTATTCCAGGTTCAGGTGTCTGAGTGCCAGGCTGCCAGCTGCCCAGAGACATCTCACACTGGCAGTGAATCCAAGAAATTCTTGAATGTTGACCACCTGGACCATTGGTCATCGTGCATTCTGAAGGACAATATTCATTTATGTAGGTGAAAATTTGAAAAAACTTCTCTCATTTCTCCCTCCCTCTCTTCCTTCTTTCTTTCCCCTTTAAAAACATTGACACATTTTAGATATATCAAAAAATGTTTATGGTTTAATTCTGTGGCACTTCTCTCTCAAGCAGATATGGAAAAAACATTTGCTATTAACTTCAAAGAGTCTGCATTGTAAGGTTTTTAAAAATGAAGTTATTTAAAACAAAGTATGCAAATACGGCTTTTAAAGTTAATTTTAAAAATAACATTCATGTATTCAGTGAATTTTAAGAAATTGTCATGGAGTGGATGTTCATGTGTTGCTTTTGAATCTTAAATACCAAGGTAGGCATTACCAAAATTCAATATTTTAAACCTTGTAAATTATATGTAGAAGATATAGATGATTAGAGAGTGTTCTATGGAAAGAGGAGCTAAATGTCAAACACTTTTCTTATATTTATTTTCAAGTGGGGAAATGTTTTTAGATCTCATACACCTTTGAAACAGTCTGATCTAAAACAGGCCCTTGTTATGGTGGGGCCTCCTCCAATGGTGTTTTTGGCCTGTGTATCCTAGCCGTACTTATTTTTTTTTCCTAGCACTACTTTAATGATGAAATCATCTTGGTTAGTGTTTTTTTTTTTTTTTAATTATTATTATTATTTTCATGATTTAGCTTTATTGCTAGATCTTTTCTCTCATGGTGCTGCTGGCTGGTTTGAACCACCAGCCTTTCCCTTAGCAGCCAAGTGCTTTCACCAGTGTGCAACTGGGCTTCTTAGAGATGAAATCAACTTATAATACCGTTAGTAGGGTGTTGGTAAACGATGCCCTCTTCCTCTGCCCTGCCCAGTGAATCTTATACTGACCATTAATACGTTATATTATTCAGTAAATATACTGGCTGTCCAGTGTAGTAGATTAAGAAACATTAGAATGGAAAGGCCATGGAAGGTCCATTGTATCATTTGTACCATATTTCTTCATTTAAATAATACTTTTTTTTATGAAATGCTTCCAATTTTCAGGTAAAAAGTCACCTTGTAACTTTTTATTATATCTCTATTAAAAAGGAAGGAAGAGGAAGAGGAGGAGGAGAAGAAAGGGTTCGTTAGCAGTGCAGCAGGGAGCGGTGGAGCTGTGGGCTGCCTCCGCCTCTTGCTTCTTCTTATCTCTCTCAGAGAACTTTCTCTGCCACAACAAGCAGTGTGTTTGGATTAAAATTGGTTATAAAACTGTAGACATGAAGAGAAAAGAGTACATATTAATTAATAGTATAGGTGTTACCCCCCATGCCATGAGTAATAAATATTAAAAGAACAAAACAAAGCAAAACAAAAAAAAACAACTCATTTTAAGTTTGGTTATGTTGAAACTCGTCAATTTAGGATGCTGTCAATTTCACTGACCAATATGAACTAATGGAAAGTCCTCTTTTTTCCCCAGTGATTGGGAATCTTCTTTAAACACCAGCATATATTACTTCCATTTTTGAGTAGTCAATGGTTCCAGAGACTGAATGTTAGGAACAACTCCTAGCCAAACAATTTTAGGTCAGAATAGCCCTTTCATATTTGATTTTACCATCTTACTATCTTCAGTCATAATTATAAAAAAGAAGCTAAACCCATTAAAATATGCCTATCAAATGAAATGCTTCCTTTTATTCTGTTATACTTTATATTTTTCCAGATATTCTAAAAATAAACCAAAAAACCAAACCAAACTCACTGCCGTAGAGTCAGATCCGACTCATAGCAACACCTTCTTGGGTTTCTGAGGTGGTATCGCTATGCAAGTAGATGCTCAACCTATCTTCTGAGGAGTAGCTGATGGGTTAGAATCACCAGCCTTCTGGTTAGCAGTCAAGTGCCTTAGGCACTATGCTACCAGAGCTAAAAATAGTATCTTTTAATTAGTATTTTGGTTAAATTATACTCTGAGCATTGTGCTTATATAGAATCCAGATATGCTTCTATACTAGAAGTCTGTTACTTAAGTATGTAGTACTACAACCTACATGTGGAAATTTCCAGAATTGTAGATAGTTTAACTCCCTGCCCCATTCTTTTGAACTTGGGTCTTACTATTAAAAAGAAAAGTTATAGTTAGCCCTAGTTTCTGTTAAATATTATTATAAATAGCCTGGCCAACTATCCTTATTTTGACCTAATTCCTTCATTAAACATTTTTGGCTGTCCTATGACATTTTAAAAAATGTTGGAGTTCTGAATTTTCTTTGTTACTGTTAAAGGAATCATTTTATTTACCTGCTGGCATATAATCAGGAGTTCTTTGTAACAGCCTTACTTTTTCTAATTTGCTTTTTTGAACTTCAATACATATTTCTATGAATATGTTGTAAATACCTCCTTGGCAAGATTTCTTAACATAAGGACAATACGTTATCTTGAGCCCACCAAGTGGTTGCCATGGTTCAAGGTGTCATTATATATTCTTGGGTGCATCATTTTTTTGCACATTGTAAATTTAAGACACTTACAGTAAGTGAACTCTTGGATAAGCTTCAGAGCCTTCTATGTTCTTAACAGAGATTTCTGCTTGATAGGCAGATTACAGTCTTCATTTTTCTTTGGTTTCAAAATCCAGTAAGCATAGCACACTTTTAAGAACTTATAAATGCCCCATGTATTCAAGATGACATTTATGTTAATATCATTAAATACTTTAAGTTATATAGGAAGTAGTTTGAGGTGCAGTTATTTTTTATCACTACTTTGAATCCAAAAAATCAAACCAAACACTGCTGTGGAGTTGGACCCAACTCATAGACACCCTTCCTTGGGTTTCTGAGGCAGTATCTTTACAGAAGTAGATTGCCCAATCTTCTTTCTGAGGCGTGGGTGGTGGGTTTGAACCGCCAGCCTTCTGGTTAGCAGTCAAATGCCTTAGGCAATAGAGGACCATTAATTTACTTTCTTCAGGAAATTAAGTGGTGAATGTAAATTTTAAATTCCGTATGTATCTATGGGAATAGGCTTTTTTTTAAAAAAAAAACGTTTGTAGTCAGTGAGTTGTGTTTTCATGTACCTCATCAAAAGACCACATTGTGCCACATTGCATCATGCTATAAAATATGACATCATTTCATTTCAATTGTTGTAACACACAGGAAAATAGATACTTTCTAGATGATTTCTGAGTTTCTTATTTCAAAAGGCATTTTATACTTTGGTGTGTATGTATCTAATGTAACAGAGATATGTTGTTACATGTGTTGCTACAGAGTCAAGACTCATTTTTCTATCTCTAGTTGCCATGAGGTCAAGATCTGCCACTCTTTACCAGGTGTATTAAATTGGTGGTAGGTCTTTGTAGATCTTTAGGATTTATCCTTAATAACTTCAACCCTTTGTGTTTTTTATTTTAGTTGGCTGTAGTTGATGTGGTGGAGTAAAAAAAAAATTTTTTTTGTACAAAGGAAACTTTATAAAATTTAGCCTGTAAATCTCCTATTTTGATAAGCTGTTTTGCATATAAGAAGAATACTGTTAAAACAAAACATTATTTTTTTTCTAGAAATTAAATCCTTATATGTGGATCAAGGTGATTTGGAAAGTTTTAATTTTAAGTGTTGAAATGTTATACTATCATTTTTACACTATTATGTATCCAATGGTAAATCATGGTTTATCAATAAAAATGAAAATTCCTATCTATTTGTTTTTTGTGTTCTTTTTACTTAACTTAAAGCATATGTATAGCATTCCTTTCTTACCTAAACCTACTTAATTGTGAGAGATGGGCTAGAATGAGTATTATTGTTTGACATGGGTGAGGTGAAAGGAACTTGGCCACCACCCTTTTGTCCCCCCTTATTCTTTGCTTTAGGTCCTGGGATGGGGTTGGTGGAGAGATAGGTGAGGTGCAAATAAAATTAATATTAATTTTTAGAAATTATGTAGAAATACATACTGTATGGGTTCTTTACACCTA